TATGAACTGACTGTATCGTAACAATTTATTTTTTATCCTTCCATTTGGAAAGGTTTATAGACAAGTAAAAGTATTCATTATACAGTTCGAAATATCACATTATAAATAGCACAAATGATAATGAAATCGATAGTAATCCAAATATCTCATTACAAATATTTACGAGAACTTTTTAAACAGTTGGTAATACCAGTTATTTGAGATGTTTAGTGATGCTAGACAACTTTTTAAGAAGCATATTTTGTTGCTTCACTGAAACGTTTCCCATAAAGACATTTTTGTGTGAATAATCTTTCTTGGTTTTCTTTCTAGTTATTTATCGAAAATTTTGCTTTAAGACCATACAAAATTTCGAAATGAACTGCTGGATCCCTCGAGAGAGGACTGATCGTTGCGGAGGGTCGAGTGTGGTACTATCACTGTCTCATATATCTCGATTGTGGATTATGCATCAAAAATGTCCTTCTGTGAGATCACATATTATCTGGTAACTAGGTTCGACAATAGTAGGACAGATAAATTTGATCCATTTTCATAGTCTAGATGCCAAACGAGAACAGAGGCAGCCAACTCCCTGTTCCGTATTGTCTTATCCTTTTCATCAAACGAAGAATGTATCGAATTACGGACATTTTTTCCAGCCGTTTCCTAGGAGTGATGATGAATTAATTGAACGCAGAGAAGTATGCTGTCTTTTTAGGGAATTTCGAGCTACTTGATCGCATCGAGTCTTGTTGCACTGAAGCGGTAAGTAATGGTCGTTCACTGGCTTGTTTCTGATGAGATTAGCGCATCCTAAGAATGAATGAAAGAATGAGCACTCGTTATAGCATCACCTTTAACCAAATTCCATTCCTCCTCTCTTCGTTCATCATTTTTAATATTACTGTCATTACAAAGTATAAATAATAATGCAACAAAGTTGTCATAACAATACTCATAATAAAAATCCTTCTTCTTGAAATTCACTTCACCCGTACTCTTTTCTTAAAGCGCACTTTAAGTTCACTATAATTTCCGTTTACAAAAGCACATATACTTTACCCTTAGTGAGAGTTTAGCGCTTCAATCCAACCCGACTACTACATTCAAAATTTCTCAAATGTTTACTTACACGAATGCTGAAGAAAAGTTAACCAATCTTCACGCATATTTCGAAGAGAATCAAAAGTGATTAGCAATAGGAAGTATTTTCATTAATTAACGTGACATTAATCAATTACTAGTAATTTTGCCAAACCATAAAAGTAAGATTTACTCCAATTTTCATTACATTCTTTACATTTACGTTATACACCCCCAAATCTTGAACGTTCAATTTGACTATTCTTCACTCATGCCCAATTTCCTTGCCTACACGCGACCCTTTCTGAAGAAAAGTACACAAAAGCCTCAAGTACTTTAAATGGTAAAGCAACCATACTAGCATAAAATATAAGAAAAATGAGTAGCAGACGGTGAGGGGGACCTGATGACTACACACAGTACATGATGCGAAGTGACAGACAGTTGCGAAAATAGCATGCCGCAAAAGCTCCACTTTGAGTACTCTCTTGATAAGATCTCATTTCTGAATTCTCCTTTTATTCGAAAGCAGTTACCAGAAGTGAATGAACTGTCTCTTCTGCATAATCCAGGGATTTTATTACGCCTAAATTTGTAGGATAATCCTATGAGCTTTCTTTTGATGCGAACACACGTCAACAAGAAAGCCTATACGACAAAATTTACTTCAACACATAACAGTCTTAAAGCTATACGTGCAATTTTCTAACTTTTAGGCGAAGTGAATTACGCTCAAAAGAAAAAAATAAAGAAAAACAAAATTTTCGAAGGTTTTACAAAATAAAAATTAAAAAATTACCCTATTATATGAAACAATGAATAATTCGTACGACGATTTTAATGCATAAAAATCTATCTCCAGCCAATGTGGCTTATGATCAGTGCAGTCCAGTAGATCATTGTCCATTATAAACTAAAGAACAGAAAATGCACGACAGCTATAAACGATGTATTAGAAATATATCTGATATGCGACTCGTCATAAATTGCAATTTTAGTGCTAAAATTTCATTCAATAATAACGAAATTAACAGTGAGACAAAGAAAAGGAAAACTAATAGCGAAGCAGCCAGTGGTACAAGAATTAGTCAATTAGAACAGCGTTTCTAAAACGTCTTTAACTTGCAACCAATGATGCCTAAGCTCCAGGAACAAATAAATTTTTTGGCTCCCTTTAAAAACATCATAGCAACATTCAGTAGCCGGAACTGGGAACGGCACGATAGTTTTTCCCGGATTCAACTTGCTTCGGAGCCGGAGCGGAACATGGCAAACTTCGGATCTAGAGCTGGAGGCGAAGCTTTAAAAAAATGCAAAGCTGGAGTTGAAGATGAAGCCGAAAATTGAAAAACGGAAGACTGGAGCCGGAGCCGTAGCCGAAAATTTCAAAAATACGGTCACTGAGCCGGAGCTGGAATTTTGAAAACACAAAGCCAGAGTGGAACTGGGTCCAAAAATTGAAAAATGCGAAGCTGGAGCTGGAGCCCTGAGTTGGAATTGGAGCCCAAACTCTTTTTTCTTAAAGTCCGGATTGCTCCGGAAATAGAACGGAGCAGAGGGAATTTCTGAGCTACAGCCGAAGCCAAAGTTTCAAAAAATGCGGAGTCGGAGCCCAAATTCTCCACAGCTGAAATTTCAAAGAATGCGGAGTGAATTTTTTCGATTAGGCATCACTGCTATATTACTTAGATAGTTTATTACGAATGAGAGTAATGCCCGCGTTATTCGTAGTCTACTTACGAAGTCGTTATATGTCAGCAGTGATGAAAGTTTTTCCCCCTGACCAAACAAATATCTTTCGTTGCTGGCCATTCCCACTGAAATCCGTAGCCAACATCTTTCAAGGGAAAGAAAACTGTTACTCGACAATTTGCAGTTGAATGATCGTTTTAAGTAGTTCACATTAGTTGGTAAAATTCATAAAACAACAGGGCGAAAAGTGAGATAGGAGAGAAGAAATTCATTAAGAAAAATTGAGTAAAAAGATATCTAAAGATGAGAAGATCTGTAACGGATTGTGTCCATGGAAACTGATGGATTATTTACTGATTTGAAGGCCTATTTCATTTCTTTATTGGATTACTCCTTAATTCGTGAGTGAATCAAAAAGTTCGTGGGAAATATTCCGCAACTGAGCGTATTTATTAATGAATAGGCATGCACACTTTTAGAGCAGTAACCCTGCTCCTGAAGGGAAATTTTCGTTGCTTGATCTACCTTGTTACCACATGATACTGGAAACACGACACTTCCTTCAATATGAGAAAGTTACGTGTTGAAGAGTGGGCTTTTTTTGAAACTGCATTGAAAAACAACATTTACAGATCTTGTGCCGTGAAAAAATTTTTGTGAAAATGCTCCAACAACAATCGCAGACGGACTGCCTGCAGTCAAACATAACTATAAGATCACTAAATGACCGACGATTAGGAAAATCACTAACATCGATCAGCACGAAATCCTTCTCTGCGATTCAGGAACTTGTAGAAGATGTAAGTGATTATATAAGACAGTTACTGATCGCCCAGAGCCACTTCAGTTATAATACGGAATGGCAGAATCTCATACTATTACGCTGGAATAATTCTGTGCAAAAATCCGGAATCGAGCAAGCCTCTTTCTTTGAAGGCCGAAAGTTCTGCGCGTTATCAAAAGGCTTTTGACACTCAAGAAACAGATAGGTCGCTTGACTCGAAATTTTTACAAAGAACTGAATAATCACAAGTATCGTGGACTGCATCACCGATAATGAAACTGGTTTATTCCCAACAGCTACCGAACTGTGATGATGGCTTCGGAGCTGATCGACTTTTTCCTTGTCTACAATCATTTTCATGACTTCTTCATCACACCTGGGATTAACATTCATTTGTTCACGTCACTTTCGCCCCAATCTTTCTACAAATCGGACTCGTCTTCATGCCGAATTTCATCGAAAAAATCAGCCCCACCTAGGATTTTTTCACCATGGATTTTTCGTGGCTTGATCAGAACACCGTATATTTCAGATGGCATGACATCAAGGCAAAACAAGATGTGGGCAATTAATCATGCAGAAAAACCTGCGATAGTTTAACTGTGAGTTGAAAAAAGTTTAACTGTGTTTAATAAAAATTGTGAGTTTAATTTAATCGTTTAATAAAAACTACCCTAACAATAGTTTAATTGTGATGAGTTACAAATATCAAGTTGAATCAGAGAATAGTGTTCTTTGGGATTTTTTCACCCCCATTTCATTATCTTCTCGTAAAATGTATACGAATTTACAGCTTTTCCAAAACCTCTTTTTTTACCATTCGTGCTCGTTCACACTTGGGGTCTCCCTCCGGACGCCATGTATGGATCACCCCTAACTCATTAAATGGTTGCGCTGAAACGCAGTTGAATATATAGTTGGCTTTGCTCTCCTCTAACGATCCCGTCAAGGAATACACACTCCTTGAAGTGAACATGTGGCGTTTAGTACATTAAGGGAGGGGGGGGGGTCAGAATTCTTGCTCGACCACAAACAAATGATTTCTTTCTTACAACTTCAATAGCAAACTTTTTGAATTCCTTGATTTCATTTTGACTTGTCACTAAGCAGTAATAGATTATCAGAGAATAAGTAGAATAATGAAGCGTTGGAGAGAGGGAACTGCGGTCTGCCATACGGTCAAAAGGGAGCGAAAGCTTGAAAGCTATTGGCCTAAAATCACCAGCATTCTTCGACTAATGCGAAGAGATAGGCAAGTGCATGAAGGGAATTGTAAAAAACTTCACACTACTTTTCTGGCTGCTCTTACAGCTAGAGACCATGGCACGCATGTTTTGAATATAAGAAAAAGAAATTTTGAAGTGGTTTCACGACAATGACGAGTTGTCACCGTCAAAAACTCATCAGTGATCACTGCCGATAACAAGTTTCACTACTAACGAGCAACTGAACAAATCTATTACAGCAATTCATCAATTGAAAGTGCGATTATCACTTTGAGAAGGCAATATATGCAGGGACCAATGCACGATTTTTTCAACAATAAAAGCTGAACGGTTTGCAGAAGAAAGCAGAGTGAACTGACCTTATCACTGGCCAGCGAACTCCTACTATTAGACCTGAGCAGCGCTTCAGATTCGTATTGATAACCGTGCACTTTTCTAGATCGTTTATTCTTCTTCTTCTCTTTTCTATTTTCATCACCATTTAAATCCTCCCAGCGGATTTTCCAAGACATTGCAGCTAACTCCGCTTCTAATCGATACCGCCTCCAATGTGACATAATCATTATCATTTCTGATGCAAACTGACAAGCACAATCTTTTCCAGCTAACAATAAGTAATCATTTTCTCGTTTGCAGTGTGCACTGATGTGCTTCATTAAAAAAAAATGGAATTTGGACTTATTCATATTCTCAACGAATTTGAAATAAATGAAACGAATCATCATCGCACAGATAAATGCTAGAGATTCTATAACTAATTTTAATGGAATGGCTGAACGATTTCATTTAGCATTTGAGGTTTGCTCTGAAATCATTTCGCAGGCAATGAACATCAAATGAACGAGCTCAAATAAAAAGGTCACCATCTAACAAATAACTATATTTGACACACCATTCAGCAAACGCTGCCTTTCTTATACCCAACCTTAAATGTGGCGACTGAAAAAAGATAAAACTGGAAAGAAAACACTGAAAAAGTTACCTCCAAAAATAAATAAATCCACACATTAAAACGAAGATGAACATAAACGATCCGAGCAAAAGGTAAACATAAACAGGATATCCCTCCGGACATTTCGAATGATCCCATCCGCAGATTGGTGAGTCTTTAGGAGGACTACCGCCAACCCAATGGAATTCAGTCACTTGCTTTAATTCGTTAGAAGCGCCTGAATAATAAGCCACTTCCTGCAACATAACAACTTTGTATGGCTCTAATAACTTTTTAACAATAAAGATGTGTCTCTGAGCAGAAATAATGAGTTATGCAAAACATCTCTGATTTTAAAATTTCCGATTAGGAATACGATTTCATAATGCAAGGCATTTCAACCAATTTTAATTGTCCTTGTTGTTCGGAAGAAAGGTAGATGGGATCAAAAGAAACAATTCTGTTTAAATTAATTGAAACTTACAACGAATTTCTCCTGAGAGGGATCAAGATCAAGTAATGAGTAATCTGAATAACGATCTCCATTTTCGTCGATTGAAACATTACCCGTAATACCTGAAGGAATAAAAATGCCGATAAACTCCTCAAGTCACAGAATGTCGAATACCAAATAATAACTTTGATAATGATGTAATTAACGAACAACAAATGACAAAATGCCACAATATGTATTAATTAGTCTCTCAGTCTTTGCATCGGCTTAACTTCGATTGAGAACAAGAAATATTTTGCATTTCGAATGAACGCATTTCTGAGAATCTGGATGACTTGACCACCGATCGAAAGATGTGAATATATATACCGACGAAAGTTCTGCTCCACATTTTACTTGTGATGTTGCGTCCATTACGTGGATCAAGCCCTTCGGTTATTGTCTCGTTGAGTGCAATTGCATAAAGTAAGACTGCATCGTAGAACGCACTGATGAAGTTATTCATCTAAAAACATAAAATCATGCTACTGCTTGTGAAACGCTGCTTTCATATACTATCACCAACTGTCACTAGCCACTGAACGATAACGAGTGAAGTTTAAAGGTACCATTTCTTATCACATAATTACTGTTATAACATGTAGGTTTCAAATTAATAAAGAAATAAAAATAATAGCCACTGAATAAAGAAACCATTAAACTTGTCTACTAAAAAGCAGAGAGCGGAGCATACAAGCAATTGAACGCAAATGTTGCTCACTTCATATTCTTTGCCCGTTTTGGCAGAATAATTGTATTTCTTTTCAGCACGTTCCTTTACCCGCGATTCGAAGTTCTTGTACTCATCTAGGTCGCTACGCCGTAGAGAAATAGTCTTGAGAGCACGATACGCGTGTTTCGCTTTCTCGTTTTCAGGTGAATTTGTCTCATTGGCACGAATCCATGGTTTTTCAGCATGTGATCTAAATGATACGGGTGAAGAAGACGTAATTTTAAAAAAAGCAGTGAAAGGTGCTATTTAAAGGTATCTTCGATGAGCCCTTCCCTGATGTAAATGAGCATAAAACAACTGATCGATTATGAATAAATCAACCACGGAAAGCAACTCATCTGAGACATACCAATCAAACACATTAATTTCCACTAAAAAAGGATCAACTTCAACTATGTCATATATCTAAGCCCAAATGATTGCAATTGATACCCTGTTGATACATCGATATTAATGAAGACATATTCACCGGAGGTTGCCATTCCCAAATCATATGCAGCTAGCATAATTTCTCGTACAGTATCCGGAGAGGCACATAGTATTATCACTGAAAAAAACTTTCAGTTACTGTGAGTTTACCATACGAAATTGAATTTCAATATCCAATATGTAGTCAATGTAGATCAGTTGTTTATTCATTTGCGATGATCTCAGAAGTTCGAATTCGTTAAACGAATAATTGAAAACTCCGTGAGAATCAGTTGAATAATATAGCTCAAAAATACAGCAGAGAATTTTTTCAGGAAGGAGCGACAATATTTTATTTCGAAATTTCTCTTCCGCGGCTTTCACGAGAACAGATCGAAGAAAAACTTTTGTTTTATTAACTATTCGCAGCGCTTTTCAAGTAATTATTAAATCGTTTTTCATCTCGTTCTTCTGAAAAAGCATGAATTTATGCTTATTTTTATTGCGGGAGCAACATCATGATGTTTATTACAGAACCACAATGAACCCTCTTATCAGAATTACTCTTTACGAGTGCCTAAACAGAAAAAAAATCATTCAATATCATGAATGAAGCCTAATAAGGCAAGCAAACAAAAACGATCAAATATTGCAAAAGCACCCCTAATCAAATGCAGTTTTAGTTATATGCTCACGCACAGAAATCTTTATCGCGTCCTTTTAGCATGCTTTCGGCATAAGTGAGTTTTAGAACGGACAAGCAACGGTTCGATCTTTCGAGTCCCCAATGATTGCTGAGTTAAAAGTTTTTTATCGAACAACAACATACCCAGACACAAGTTTCAGAATCTATTCCAAAATCTGAATCCAAACTTTTTTGGCATTTAACACATTATCGTTCAAATACAGACGTTAAGTGAAGTTTCTTGTTCAATAAGAAATTGCTTAATAAACATTTCAGAAAGTCAGGACGGATTCTATAATGAAATATGAACAGGCAATATCATGTTTTCGCGCTGTTGAGTAGCTCGTGCAAATGGACTCATGGACATATGTGTATAGTTAGCGAATGCGCTACAATTGATGCTGGCGAATGCTCAGAATTTGGTTCGGAGGATTCCGCATCGAATGTGAAGATAAAGATTGGCGAAGATGAAATGTCTGCAGAACATATCAAAGGACCCCGCACCGAATCATCAAAATTAATTTCGGCAATCAACAACCAGCACAAACTTTCAGTGGATGTCAGCGGATCTCCGAAATTTTCGTGACACTGCCAGTGCACAGAGCCTCTTACGCTGAATTAAGGAATTCCTTTTCGGCGGGCCGCCAACTACCGAACTTTCAGCAGATCATCGTCAATGATTTAATCGGAACCTTTGCACCGACTCCTGCTGTCTGTTGTTGTCATCATTACCGAGGACATACCTGATCACTGATGCAACTCAAACCCTACCCACTCATCACACTTTCTGCTCACAACAACTACCAGAAAAAGTAATAGCATATCTATTTGTGGAATTATTACACTGTGACGGAGTGCCACATTGTTACGGAATACTCGAGGGCAAAAACTGCCTGCAACCGAAACAGAAAATGTATTTGAAAGATAACAGGTGATGGAAAAGGACACTGCGACAAAATCTGAAGTGAACCAAAAATTCAAAACCTCAAAGGGTGATGTTTCAGGTGTCTTGGCTAGAATACAAAATTTTATTGTTACATTATGATACAAAATTTGTGCACAATATCGATGCAACAGAATCTGTACTTCAGCCACAAACAGTTAAGCTGATCATTCCATTACACATACCGTGCACAATACCATGAGGTAATAAACAACATTTTGAAGTGCGTTCAATCGCATGAAAAATAGATTAAGGTGAGCAATATATCAATGACAGAAAAAAACGACGCGGTATGACAAAATATTTACGACTTGAAGGGAGAGATTTAAACGGACAATTTATCTGTTGCAAAAAAAGTTAATGGTATTCACGAAAGGCTTTGCAAATTCTATGCATATATAAAATACTGAGTACTATCGAGCCACTATCAGTCGCGATCAAAGAACATATTCGTATGACTGAAATTCCAAAATATCAGACAGATTATACAACATATAATTACGACAAGGTTCAGCAATGTTGACGCGATGTAGGTGAATGTTCTTTAATTCGCCCGGAGTATAAGGTATCATTATAATTCAGTGACGCTTGTGCTCTGAATGGAATACCAATTTTGTGAGGAAAGCTGCAGTAAAATAAAATGGAATATAGCGATTCAAGCGGAGAATAAAAACAGATATCAATAAAAACCTCGTTGCGTTGCAGTGCTTCACTGCACAAATTTGGATCAAAAATATTGAATACAAAGATTTCGGCGAATAATCCTCAAGACAACTGTCCTTCACTTACATTACCATGACTGAATGTTGGTTGCATGAAATAACAACAATACATTTCTCACAATCCTAAAACAGATAAAACCTCTTTTAATGCGCAGATGCATCATTGGGCAGCAATCTGCGTCCAGTATATAATAACCATATGCAACATTCTTAATGTCACTCATCATACCAGTTCAGCATTTTAATGAGTCGTTTCAATGCATTATATATATATTCTAAATTCGAAACTGAACAGATTACGCCATACAATTCAATTTAATAGTATAAAGTTTGAAATTTTGGTTAGAGACAGAAGTCGAAACAAAAGATAAACAAAAGCAGGAAACTAGATATAATTCTGAGCATACCATAACCGGTGTTATCACGAAATGAAAGATCACTTTTGCAGATACATGATCATTATTGTAATTTACTATTACGGTTAATGTTGAAGAAAAGCAACGATCAAAGTTTCTTATTAATCACTCTGAAAAGAACATGGATCCCTTCCCACTATTAGATAAAACATCATTCAGTGAGCACTTTGCGAAACGCAGGTATAACAAGTGGATTTAAGAAAATGAAAGAGTCATGTTTCACAATGCTGTTTGAAACAATTCAAGAGAACGGTCTCAGAGGTACTCATGTTTTGATTGTAGGGTGCCCATTACATCAATCTTTCAGAATCCACCATTCACAATGAAACTTCCCAGAAGTGTGTTTCAAAACATGATGATTCCAAGAAATACGGACACCTTTGCAGTTCAGGACTAAAAGCAACTGAGCGACATTGGTGCTTGATCAATGAAGCTAGAACGGTTGCTTGGAGTTAGTACCGTCAAATGCAAATAAGTTGACGGTTTCTACATATAGCTGTTGTGACAAAATTCTGTCATGAAGATCAAAACATACGACCGTTGTGGCTCAGCAGGTAGGGAACTGAACTATCAGTGGCATATCTTTCTGTTCTTGATAGTTGAACCCCTCAAGAATCATTATTTCCAGTTTTTCTCCATTTTCTAACGGATATCTAGCAGAAACAAAATTATCAAGCTGGGATAAACAACATTAGCCAAAACACTTGGACTAAAACTGCCATCGTTACATCGACAATGCTACGGCTTGTCGATTGAGCTCTTCACACGTGTTCCTCTTCATGATCGAATGTCACTACAGCAGCTGATTACTGCAGACTTATTTACTCTCCTCTCCAGGGGGCTGTTTTGTAAAATATGCAGACAGAATTGTGATCGGCGACATAACCTAACTGCATAATATATTACTGATCCCGGTCAAAATTTCAAATTTTTTAAGCAGATCACCTATCGGAATAAGGAGCGTAATAATGGGAAAAAATAAAATCATGAGAATATAAGGACTGGTTCAAATCATGAACTATTACCTACATCCAATTTGTTTTTTCTTTTCTTATACCCTGCCAGTAGAAAATTCTTACTCAAATGATGATTAGTATTCGAGTTCTGAAGGCAAAAGCAGGAGAAAACATCAATATTAGAACGAATGACACTGATGCATCATTGGCGTTTACCGCTGATTCATTGTAGCTATTGTTAATTTTACTGTTGTTTTTTATGTTAATAACGAATGACATGATATAACTCCGAATATATCAGCTGAGTTACATTCAACCTTTAATTGTTTTTCCGGGACGGGGAATAAGTTGAGATGGCATACATTCGGCATTATACTGCATATTTATTGTTGGTTTCTTTTCATGTTGCTGAATTGTTACTATAAATTGATCCATTTTATATTGCACAATTCCAAGTGGAGCATGATCAGTAGCTACATTCGTGAGATTTTACACCATACATAGATTTGTTGATATCGATATATATATCGATTTCAAAGCCCCATTTAGTGCATATAAGAAGAGAGAGCCGCATCACAGCCGTGAAAGCGCTGTCTGGATAACGCAGGAAAATGTCTGCATAAAGCAAGCGAAGTTCACGCATGTGAATCGTAGTTTGTCTATAATTGCATTACCATTTGCTCACAGTTAGATGTAGTGTTCGTCGGGGAACGGGGTCGCAGACGGGAAACGCGGGGATTGCTCCCTCCCCGCGCAATTAAAGACACGCATAAAAGAAACTTGCAAGTTTGAGTTTGCACTTACTATTGGTTTGCATAGAAGCTTTCTTGAGCATTTCTCGGTACTTTTCGGGTTCAGTAATTGTTTCACTGAACATTTCCACAGTCCAAACAATATTAGGCTCATTATTGAAGACATTCTTGATTGCATTCAACGAAAAAAAGCATTCCGACCGACCAAGCACATTACGTCTCGCAGCTTCGTCGTGAAAAAAGAAGTGGAAACGACGCCAATAGAGACGATTAACCAAGATAAGCACAAGCTGTGCAACAGTCTTGTAGGTGCCCATAAGGCGAGTCAATAGTGGGTAGTGCTCCTTGTTGCCCAACTCATCGACCATTGCTGACGTCGTGAAGACCGGCACGCCGTTCTGCCAGAACTGTGACATGCGCGCGACGGGTGCCAGTGCATACACATAACTGATGCCCATTACTGCATCCACACTGCGTGCACAATACCGTTCGATGATGCGCTGTGGACCGATCGCGTCGCTAAGATTTGTATCCACATATGTAATACGAAGGCTGTCCTCAGGCAATAGTCGATGCGTAAAATAAATATCTCCCACAGCTACATCAAAAACTGGCTGACTTTTCGCAATAGTCAACCGAAACGGATTTCGCAGAGTGCTACCTTCATGAAGTGGTAAACCGACAACAATATCGATAGGAAAAAGAAGTGCAGTTGAAGGAGTTGTTGCATTCGCTAATAGAGCTGATGAAAGAAGAGCAGCACTAAACATTAGCATGTAACGGTACTGCACCCACCGCATACGTGTGCGGTGAGCAATACAGCCTTGCATAAGAATGTGCTGTGATGTCTTTTGTAGGCTGAATCGAACGAAACGAAATTAACTCGGCAATGAGCTGACCCATCTCAATTTCAGTCCATTTCCTTCAGAATACATGCTTCCCTGGTTCCGTTCGAGGTAAGGATCAGCAATAGTAAATATAATCACATACAAGCCTATTTAATATTGTGCAAACAAACGATAAATGAGATCGAGGATCAGTGGTACGATGCTATTCAGCATTCATCATCATTATCAGGAATGGTGATGGATAAGTCGATTGATTCAGATGAGAGATTGGGAAACATTAATACAACAATAATAGCGAAGATTAGAACGTACAATTGTGGTCTCTCTGTAGGAATAATGATAAAATGTAATCCGAATTGCAGAACTGAAATAGAAAAATGGATGAATACTTTAGGAATGCTCTCCACAAAAACAGCGGCAAATCAAGCAACAACCAAATTGACTGAACTAAACGGGAGGCGGCGGGGAACATCAGATGTTCACTGGAATGAGAGGAGAGTAGAAGAAACGAAATGCAAGGAACGAATCAAATTGAAGCAAGCCATTTCGTCTAGTCTATGAAGTGAAGGAAGATGCATGTCACAAGAAAACGACCAACGGCACTATGTAACGAATTTGCCTGCCTTTTCGAACATCAATTCAACAAAATACTTAAATTTGACGATTAGTGGTATGCAGATATAGAATAGAAAGCTGATTATGACGGTTAAGTTGACTGAGTTTAAGAGATGTACCAATAGTGATGCACTGCACAGACACGCATAACATAAAGAAAGGAGGCTCAATGAACAGGCGGAATGGAATAATCATCGCATTATTGAGCATGAAATCTGCAATCAGCCAGTAACAAACTGTCTAACAAAATAATGAAACTATCCCACAAAAAAGTAATAATGAAACTGTCTAACAAAAATTTCTACACTGAAAAGGACCTTGGTTTCTAATACATTTTTTTGATATAGACCTGAGAAAAGACTTTCATTTTTCATTTCATAATCGTACTTTTTGGAAAAAGTAATCTGAAATTTTTATTCCAGGTGCAAACATATTTCTAATGAATCTTGTTCAACAGTAGCTTCCGAATTTCGATTAAGGAGGTAGTTTTCTTTGCCTATTTTTCGCATAGGAAACTTCATTTCTCATCAAACGGCCTCACTTTCACACAACTTCCAAAACAAAATTTAACAATTACATAGAGTGAACTTTGCAACGAAGCGAACTGCGACGTAACTACAGTGTGATATGCTAAATCCCTCTCATACAGCACGAAATTATACATCGATCGGTACACCTCAAAAAAAGGCCGGAAATTATGCAAAATGGTATTACACACTGGATCAAAGAATGTTGTTTACCGAACACCCTATAAGTACACTTCATGCATTTCGAAATTACACTTTACACTACATTATGCAGGTAGATTTTTTAAGCAAATTTATAAATTTTATTTTGGAATTTTAACGAAAATGATGTTATTCCATGAGAAACGGAGACTATCGATGTTTTCTGTGTAAAAAACAGTTCTGAAATACTACTTTTATCTGCCAAAATCGGAAGCTGATTTTGAACAAGACGTATTATATGAATGTATATGTCTCAATGTATTTCTTGCAATAGCACATCTGACTGAATCAAAAACAAAATCGTCTCGTTGACGACCGATCCGCATGTTAGAGAAGAGATCAATAGGCATAGTAGCAGTTACAGAAAGAACTTGTAATGAAGGAATGCAACAAGAAGTAACAATGAATATCAAAAAACTCATGAGTTCGTCGAAAGTAGGGTGCGTAAGTTGGATGAAAATTACACAAGATAAAGAGAGATCGCGACTGGCGAAGAACATGTAAGCATGATTCGCTTGAAGCGGATGAAAAAAGGGTCCAGGTATCGATTAGATGTTGCGAAAATGGGCGATAAATAACTGCATTTGCTGGATATCGAGCAATGATGATGGATGGTAAGAAATTTAGCTGGTGCTCAATCACAAAGACTTTTTTCGGCTAAAACAAATATGGCTAGCATAGCAAACAAATGCAGTATGTTGTTTCAATACTGTATCTATAACACCACAAATAAGCATATGGATAGTTGGAACTGTTGATGAGATGAAATGAAATGCGAATACGACGAAAAACACCAACAACTGTAACTATATCTAAATGCTGCATATTTGCTATTCTAGAACAGTCCAACAATTTGAGCGTTTATATGTAATGTTCGTCAGGGAGCAATTTTTCACACGGGGGGAGGGTCCCCGCGGGGAGAAAATTGGACGGGGGGGAGTCCCGCG